AAAAAAGCATCATATGACCCCTTTAAAGCAGCAGACCATAAAACAGCAGCACATGTTTAAAATAAACAGTTATTGTCCATTGTTGTAGATGCTAATATAGTTATTGGTACCTTTATAGTCACCTTTTTTTTGTATGAATGGGCCTTTAGAGTTTAACTGTTAATTTTTAGTATGCTAAATGTAACTTTAAGCAGTCAAATGTACCATACCTGTGTAATGTTTTATACTCCGCAGCTCTCTGCCAACTACAACAAGAATGAAAAAAGTCTGATTAAAGAGTGTATGGAGTAAATATGATTCGTTACATGGTGAATATTTACCGGTTTCTCTCATTTTGTCATCCAGGGCGCTCTGAAGATGTGATATGGTCTTCCTCAGAATACCTCCATGTTCAAGAGTGCTAATGCTGATGTTTTTTGAGCGTTTGGTATATTTGGGGTTGCGCAGGAGCCTAATAATCTACAACAGAGGGGAAAAGGCCCTTAAGCCAAGTGTGCATGTGGCTTCATTTCTTACCATGGTTTGTTGAGAAAGACTGACTTGTGTAAAATTCATAGGATGCGAGAGCTTCTCCAGCTCAGTTTGTCTTCTCTTTAGCTCCACGAGCTCTTCATCTAGCTCTCTGATGTGCTCTTCTCCTCGTCTTTCTGTTTCTTTATGATTTTTCTCTGTGAGCTCAAGTAGCTCCGCATTGCTTCTGTCAAAGACGTCCTTAAAAAACACGATGTTCTCTTCAGTCTCCTTCTCATTGGCTTGCTGTTGCGAGTTTAAGAAGAATTAAATGGAAAATCACCACAACACTGTCAAAGCAGGTGCTTACAAAATAAAACTAAATAATCTTGAGGACCTTGAAGTTGATTGACAAAAGTTTTCTTCAGAAATACAATTATTATTTGATTACTATTAATCAAATCAATGCCACTTACTTTGTTAAACCTCAAAGAATGTTTACTTTCTTTCATCTTCTGCAACTTGACCTGAATTTTCTGCTGCACCGCAATCTTTTTATTCATCAGCAATTTCTGGGGACAAAGAAATGGATGTAGTATAGCATCAGCATGCGGTTTGTTGAATTTTGTTCATTTTCATAGTTGAGTTGAGTATTCTAGATATAATTACCAAACTCTCCTTCTCCAGAGGAACAGTATTATGAGTCCTGTGGTCACTCTCGGTGCAGAACTGACAGATGGCTGTCTGATCATCTCTACAGTAAAGATCCAGAGGTCTTTCATGATTCTTGCAAATGTATTCCTCAAGATTCTTCACAGGGTTAATTAGTTTGTGTTTCATGAGTTTTTCTGCAGTTTTATGGGGCTCCAAGTGAGACTCGCAGAAAGAGGTTCCACAGTGTAAGCATGACTTAATAGCAGTCCGCATTTTTTTATTTGGGCAACTGTCACAGGACACTTCAGGCTTCTCCTGGACCCGTTTCCTTTTGATGTCCTCTGCAATTTCTTTAATGGTTCGGTTTATGCTAAAATCTTGTTTTGAGTCCAATTCCCTCCCACATAGTGGGCACCTTGGGCATGGACTGTGGTCTCTGTGGCTTCTGATGCAGACCATGCAGAAGTTGTGGCCACAGGAAGTGGTTACAGGGTCAGTGAACACGTCCAGACATATGGAACATGTGAGGCTTTTTTTAGACACACTGCTGGAGGAAGCCATGACTTTACAGCTAAAATTATAAACAAAAAAAACATTTTTTTTCAATATACATCAGTTATAGTAACTCAATTTAGCAGACAAATATAAATAGAGGGGAAAAAACACTTTTCAAGCAAACTTTACATTAGCTCCAGAATTTCAAATTATAAAAGAAAATTACATTATTTAAAATGTCAAAATGTCATCCTATAATGTTGTTATTCATGCTAAAAATCTAACAAGCGTATCTGCCATTTTTGTCACACTGGTAAATGTTTTGGATTGTTTTAGACAAGTAGTTGTTTATTTATTGTAATTAATAGAGTTAAAGATGTGTCTGATGAAGCTGAAAGCATCATAAAGCCATATACCTCTTTGTGATGGCAAGTTTGGGTGTGTAGCCCGTCAGTTTTGCCTTAGGGTCTATAGTCAAACCTAGCCTAGTCAAGCCTGATTTTCAGGTTTGTAGCATATCCGCACATCAAGAATCAATGCAACATTTATCACTTTTCTATTCACCACAATTAAAATGCATAAAGGTCCACGGCACACACACTCAAGACAACTTTGTGAAATCGTTCGTAAAACCATTGCTAAACTGTCTTCACAATGTAGTGCATCAATTTACCGTAAAGCTTGTCCATGTCTAATCAAATTAAGTCTAATCAAATGTATTCTGTTCTACACACTTACCCTTCAGTGATGGATTCAGTCGCTTAATCGTCACCCAAAGAAAGAAGACATCAACAGCTGAATCACATTCAATCGCAACAAAACTGGAAACTTGGACCATCAAGATCGAAAACTAGGAACGACTTCTTTAGACCTAATTAATTTACTAACTTAACCCTGCAGTAGGCCTATTTCTCACAACTCAACAAGGACGTGCATTTGTTGTGCCAGTTTCGAATTACAAGATCCATGATTTCACCAAAGCAGGTGTAGAGAGAAGGGTATAACTGCAGCCTGGAGATTTCCAAATGGGGGCGGGAACTAGTGATGTGTCGTTCGCGAACGAGAAGAGCCGACTCCCGTCGGGGAGAGCCGAGTCTTCAGCCGGAGCCTTCTATTGAGTATAATAATGATTCTAACATAACTAAGCCAAACACCAAAAAACAACTACATATGTGTGTACAACCGCACACATATACATAAATATATATATATACACACATATATATACACACACACATATATATATATGTATATATACACACGTATTGAAGTACTGAAATAACTCAAAATAAATAAAAGTAAAACTTAATAATAAGTCTATATAGACATAATTAAAAAACTAATAAAATGACAATATTACTACAACTGTAACTAAAACTAAAATAGATAACTAATACAAATCAAAGTACATTAGTTCATCAGTAATCCTAAAAAAAATAACACTGTGGCAAACACACATGCTAAAATAACAACAACTTACTGACACATAGTAAGAACTACTAGATTATAAAAAACTGAAACAGAAGTGGAAAGAGGAGAGATAAAAAGCGATTTTATGAAAACACTGAATAAAAAATTGCTTACCAACACACAAACCATTCACAATTGCTAAACAGGGCTAAAATAGAAGGCTCAGTGATACTAAATAAAGAGCCATTTGGGAGCCGTAAGAGTCGGCTCTTCTAAGGGAGCCGAATCTTTGAAAAGAGCCGAACTTCCCATCACTAGCGGGGAACTCCAAAATAGGGCGTGGCTTCCTCCCATTGCCAGACAGGAACATGACACGCACGCGCATTTCCCCCCCAATCCACTTCAGTGCAAACTCCGCACCACAGCTGATTCTAAAGATTTGATTGGTTATGTCACTTAAAGTGTTGATTTCCTACACTATACTACAAAACATTCTAACTCCTAAACCTACCCCACACCTGACCCTAACCTTAACCAGTGAAACTGACTGCACGGTGTAGTGAGTTGAGACAAACCCTTATTCAGGTGCATGGTTTATCTGAGAAAAACGTAGGTTGTTGTTTTTTTAACTAAAGTGTAGCATATGTAAGCCTTAAAGCCTCATTCCATCAGCTAATTTCAAAGACAGATAACACAGCCTCCAAGGTGTTTTTCAGGGATCACAGTGTTGCTGGTTTCTGTTTTACATTACAAGAAATCCAACTTTACAGCTGAGTGGTTACAAGAAATGATATCTGGGTCTATCTAGGTCAGCTCTATCAAACTAACAGGTCAACATATATTATGTAATTTGGCATGTAAACTGTTCAGAATTTATTTATAATTTAAACAAATAAATAAATAAAATGAATAAAAATTTAATACGTCATGTTCACAGTGAAGTACATGATCCAGATGTTTACTTTCGTGATTTGATGGTCATAATATTTCATAAATAATATTTCAGTATCTTTTTTTCAAAATAAATTGTAGGAAAATAGTATAGCATGGAGATGGAGAACCTTACTTAGGTATGCATTTATAGAGCTAGATCATTTGATTGCATCAGTCCTTTAATCAATTGTTTTTAACTTTATTTGTAAAGAATTCTGGGTTGGGGGTTGGGGGTGGGCAAGTCAAGTTTCAAGCTGGACAAGCGAAATTGTTTACTTTCATAATCAAGGATTATATGAACATGCAAACTCATTAAAATGTCAATAAATCCTTGTTTTCTTCAAGCACGAACTCCTGAGATGACAATAAAGAGATGCATAAATCATGTTAATGAGGTCAGAAGTTGTGGTTGCTGTGTCCTACAACCCAGGGAAGAGGTAGAATCTCTTAGACAATGTTGTTCTTTCCTTGCATGGCATTTGATCAGGATGTGACATCTTAAACTTCTTAAGGACCTGTTTCAAAAATAAAAAGAAATATCACAACATAAACCACACATTAGCCTAAAAAACCCCATAAAATATAAAAAAAGAATAAAACTTTCTTTATTCTAGACCTTATTGTTACTGATATGCAATACTACTGATAGCGATACTAAATAACAAGGAAAAGTAAACATTAACTATTCAATCAAACATCAAAAAACACATATCAGCATTGATGTCTACAGATTTACGTCTGCCTTGCTAAACAATGTGACTTTGCCTTTCTGAAGAGCTCCTCGATGTCGTCCTGGTGGGCATGCTGATTAAATATTTCCACGATGTCTTGGATGAAATGTGAGCCTTTCTCTTTGTTTCTGTAGGACACAGTATCTGTATAGAGAATACAAATTATGACTTACACTGTTTGACTGAACATCATCGCTTAGATGCCAATCAAATAAAACATAATTCTAACACATTTTTAAAACAGTATAGTCAGCATTAAAGTGACATTTTACCCAAACATGAAAATCCTTTCATCATTTACACACCCTCATGTCGTTCCAAATCTGTATGAATTTCTTTCTGCTGCTGAACACCAAAGAAAATATTTGGAAAAATGTGGGTAGCCAAACTGTTCCTGGTTCCCATTGACTTCAATAGTATTTTTTCCCCCATACTATAGAAGTTAATGGAAAACAGCAACTGTTCGGTCACATTCTTCAAATATTATTTTGTGTTAGGAGAGGAATGAAACTCAAACGGATTTGGAACTTGAGGGTAAGTAAATGATGACAGAATTTAAATTTTGGGGTGAACTATCCTATGTATGTCACTCCAATAAATATTTTTTTTGTGTGTTTCGTGTAATACTATAGTAAATGGAGCGGAATAATGTAAGGAAATATCTACCTGGAGTACAGGATCTCAGGCAGCAGAAGTCTTTTTCACGGTGCTCTTTTGCTCTGTTGCGTCTTGGCACAGCATCCTGGACATCCACACTGCCTTCATCTATAACATGAGGGCGGCATTTGCCAAAGAATGTTGCTTGAAATGGATGAGGCTCTGACCAATCAAATATGACAACATTTTAAATAGTTGAGTTGAACAACAATTTTTTTTATTTTCTAAAATAGTATTTTGTAACTTACCACCCCTACACGCTTGGATAAGGATGATTTTTGGCTTGTCCCTCAATCTAGCAGAGTTCGGAGTGTTCAAGCAATTAAAAATTTCATCTGCTTGAAAAGCGTCCTCTTCATCTTCATTCTCAAAAACCCCACAGATTCCACTGGCATCTCCATGGGACATCAACACCACAAAGCAGCTGTCCGATTCAGTGTGTTCCTCTCGCCGGGCGAAGTCTCGCATGGCAGCAAGCATACCCTGAACACCAGACCATCAATATCAAAAATAAAAAAAACAACAAAAAAGTTGGCTTATTTGGCTTAAATACACTTGAATGCACCTGTGCACTGAGGTCTCTGAGTGTGATCACAGTATAACCCAGACCTTTAAGCAGCACTTCCATACTCAGCTCATCCTTGTCTGCCCCGGTCCTGTCATTTAAGTTTTTAAATTCTACATTGTTGATAAGCAGTGCCAAACGTTTTCTGTCAGTGGATTTGTCTTTTATTGGGTATATCTTGACAGAGAAGAAAATTTGTATTATTATTAATTTGCACATAATATTTAAACATCAAACAAGACACAATAAAAAAAATACAACAAACACATAGTACTTTCTCTATTGTCCAGCATTTGTTTTAGAGTAGCCATTTTCAATTATTGTGATATATATACAACATAACTTACATCGTCTCCCTTTTCTTGAAGCATTTTCTTTTTAAACTCAGGTTTGCATGGTATAAGTGGATCTGAAGTTCTCTGTTCGGATACAACAAAATCATAATTATGTTGTCAGAAAAGATTATATGTTTCATAAAAAACATTTATTTGGTCAATTAAGTTAGATTTTATTTACCACTCTCTGTCCACAGCCATTATTGTCACACCGCACCGCATTATTGGCCGGCCCCTTCCATTCCCTGCGGCAGTTCCAGCAGAAGTAGTAATTTCGTTTCAGGTTGGCCGTGCAGATAGTGCAGTGTACACACAGGTTACCTCGATCTCGTCTTTCCACATGAGACTGACATCCTGGACACTGCAGCATTGACAACAGATGCATTTTGGATAGTTGTACTTGATGCACTTTATTGCAGTTACTATCGATGCTATATGAGCTGGACGTTGACATCACTGAATCAATGATGGACTGACTTTAACTGAAAATTGAGGGTTTACTGTTGACTTGACTTGACTTAATACTATAAAGCTGCTTTGACACAATCTGTATTGTTAAAAGCGCTATATAAATAAAGGTGACTTGACTTGACTTAATCCTGTAAAGCTGCTTTGACACAATCTGTATTGTTAAAAGAGCTATATAAGTAAAGGTGACTTGACTTGACTTGATTTAATCCTGTAAAGCTGCTTTGACACAATCTGTATTGTTAAAAGCGCTATATAAATAAAGGTGATTTGACTTGACTTGATTTAATCTTGTAAAGTTGCTTTGACATAATCTGTATTGTTAAAAGCGCTATATAAGTAAAAGTGACTTGACTTGACTTGATTTAATCCTGTAAAGCTGCTTTGAAACAATCTGTATTGTTAAAAGCGCTATATAAGTAAAGGTGACTTGACTTGATTTAATCCTGTAAAGCTGCTTTGAAACAATCTGTATTGTTAAAAGCGCTATATAAGTAAAGGTGACTTGACTTGATTTAATCCTGTAAAGCTGCTTTGACACAATCTGTATTGTTAAAAGCGCTATATAAATAAAGGTGACTTGAATATACTTAATCCTGTAAATCTGCTTTGACACAATCTGTATGGTTAAAAGCACTATATAAATAAAGGTGAATTGACTTGACTTGTTGTGTAAGAGGCCATATGCATGCAAACAGCAGACAAATTGATCTATCTTACGGCTTTAAAGTCAAACAGTCTTCTAGCAACGAGAGCAGCGAGATTCTCCTCTAGGAATTCCCGTTGTTTGTCTGTCAGTGGTATCAGCTGACAGATGTCCTGATAAGAGAGATTTACACTGCAGGATTTCCCCTGAACATTATAGCCAGGGCAAGAAAATTCAGTCTTTTTCTGAAAGAC